CTTTTCCTCTCATATAGTTTAATTATTAGTTATTTTTGGATTCCTAGAGACTAAAGCATGCATATTCATTTTGCTACAAGCTCATATTATTTTACCACTTTTAAAAATTCTAGAACCTTAGAGCACTTTAGCTAATTCATGTTTTCTGCCTCTTTTATTACTTTTGTTGTGCATTTAAATCTAGATAAATTTTAATTATTTCCACAAAACATTTTAATTATTTTCAAAGCTAATACTCATTTATATGCATTTTTTTGCATTTCTGTGGTTTTACATGTTTGACAAAGTCTTTTAGCTCTTTTTAAAATTGCAGGTCTACTGGCAATAATTTTTAAAACATTTGTAATAAAAATGTATTCATTTTGCCTTCAACTTTGAATACTTTTTCTAGATATAGAATTCAAGGTTGGCAGTATGTCAGCTTTGTTTTCCGGTTTTTATTATTTCTTTTGAAAATTAGCTTTAATCTTTCAGTAGCACCTTTAAAATAAAATGTCTTCTTTTATCTGACTAGTTCATATTTTCCCTTGTTTTTGTTATTTTAGCACACCTTTAGTAATTAACCTAGGTTTTTTTTTTTAAATTACTTTCAAAAGAATTTTTATTTTTCTTCCCGCTTTACTCCTGCTAAGTTAAGGTAAATGTATGATCTTTGAAAATTTTGGAGGATAACAACTTAGATCTCTCTGGATCTGGTGCCTAATTTGTGGGTAGATGTTTGAAATTTCCAATTTAATTTTTAAAATTGTTATAAGATAACATAGATTTTTAAGAGAAACTTTTTTTAGATCTCAGTATTGTAACGTATATTCTTCTATAAAATTATTTCAAGTTTTCAGATTTATTGCCAAAAATGTTCTAAGCATTCTCTCCCTCCTTCCATCCTTTCCTCTCTTTCTCTATCATCTTTGTTTTCTTCTTTATTTTCTTTTCTTTGTAGCTTGATGATATGATTATAATTTAAAAAAGCATTTTATAAAGCATTCCCATGAGTTTATTTTGGAAAGGAAGACCATGTAACTTTAGTAATACTAGTAACTTAGTAACCATGTAACTAACAGTAATCATATTGCCCACAAGTCAGACCTATTTAGATTCATCAGGATATTTTCTTGCTACGAGTGAACAAAACAGAGACCTAGGTGTATTACTTCTCTGATAGATTCCAGTTCCCTTTCTGTGGGATGGTGGTGGCTTATAATTTGTAATAGTTTATAATCCTGTGCTAATTCTATTTTTATTGCTCTAAATTTTGATCTATACTTTTCCCCCTTTTCTGGTATCTTCTTTTTTTAAGAAGAATATAGGACCATTTTCAGCTCACCTGCCATAGCTGGAAAAGAGAATCCAGTTCTGGCCATTATAATAAATTAAATAATAAAAATAAATGTCAATATAAAAACAATATATTTCACTCAAACAGATGTACACTACAGAGATGTCATAGCCCTTTCCTTATCTATTGCAGTATTTTAAGCAAAATTTTCTCCTCTAGTTTGAATAACTCCTCCCTGTTTGCACATGAGAATTCATCTGCCTTGTCTTTACCCTCAGATATGATTTTTTTTTAATGCCTGGAATGAAGCTGACTGTGGACTGAAGGCATAGAGACAAGTTATCTAGTGATTATTTTTCTTGGCTGTTACATCCTTGATAAACCTCGCTCTCCTAATGTTGCAGAAATGATTCCCTTCAGGAACTATTTAGACATATGAAAAGATGCTCAATATCACTAAGCATCAAGGAAATGAAAATTAAAAACACAATGAGGTATCACCTCACTCCTGTCAGAATGGTTATTATCAAAAAGACAAGTAACAGGTGTTGGCGAGGATGTGGAGAGCAGGGGACCCTAGTACACTGCTGGTAGGAATATAAATTGGTGCAGCCATTATGGAAAACAGTATAGACAATCTTCAAAAAACCCAAAACAACCCAGAATTACCATATGATCCAGAAGTTCCACTCCTAGGTATTTATCTGAAGAAAATGAAAACACTAATTAGAAAAGATATATGCACAACTGTGTTCATTGTAGCATTATTTACAATAGCCAAGATGTGGAAGCAACATAAGTGCCCAACAGTGGATGAATAGATAAAGAAGATGTGATATATATACATATACATATATATATGTACACACACACACACACACACACACACACACACACACACACGGAATATTACTCAGTCATAAAAAAGAATGAAATCTTGCCATTTGTTAAAATATGGATGGACGTAGAGTTATACTAACTGAAATAAGTCAGACTAAGAAAGACAAATACTATATGATTTCCATTACATGTGAAATCTAAAAAACAACAAATGAACAAACATAGCAAAACAAAAACAGTTATAGATACAGAAAACAAACAGGTGGTTGCCATAGGGGGAAGGAGTGAGGAGTGGAAAGAAATGGGTGAGGGAGGATAAAAGGTACAAACTTCCAGTTTCAAAATCAATAAGGCATAGGTATGAAATGCACAGTGTGGGGAATATAGTCAATAACTATGTAATCCTTGCATGGTGATAGATCTTATATAGACTTGTGGTGATCATTTTGAAATACATAGAAATATTAAATCACATGTTGTGTAACAGGAACATAGTGTTGTAGGTCAATTATACTTCAAAAACAAGCAAACTCAGAAAAAGAGATTAAATTTGTGGTTTAGGGATTCAGGTAGGGGAGGCGGAACTGGGTGAAGGCAGTCAAAAGTTATAGAGTTCCAGTTATAATAAAAATAAATACTAGGGCTGTAATGTACAACATGATAAATATAATTAAAACTTGAATGTTATGTATGAAAGTTGTTAAGAGATTAAATCATGAGTTCTCATCACAAGGAAAAAATATTTTTTTGATGTATCTACATGAGATGATGGATACTCACTAAACATATCATGATACTCATTTCTGGACATATGTTAGTCAAATCATTATGCTGTTATACTTTAAACTTATATACAATGCTGTATATCAATTATATCTCAGTGAAACTAGACAAAAAGGACTATTTAAGGACTACTATCTTAAGAAAATACTGAAGATCATATTTTTCTGTTTCTTTACCTATCAAGTTTTGTTTGTATGATGGAAATGTTATGTTCATTAATGTATAGTGTTTTTTGTCTTGCTTTGAAGAGTTTGACAGGCAAGTGAGGTTCTAGGTAATCCTGATTATGAGGATTGTTCCTAAGCTTTCAGAGAGTGTATCTAGAAAAACTTTTATTTTAGTGCTTCTTTAAGATTACATCTAAGGAGTGACAAACCTGGGATTTCTCCTGAATGTCCTGGGTGGTCAACCAGGTCTCTTCTCTTTAATTGGCCAAATTTCAAATATCTCTCAGATCTAGATTCTGAGACTTGTCAAACTAAAGTTGTTCTTTACTCAGCTTTTGGTTACCCATTGAAGTCTCACCCAATTGAAAAGTGCCTTTAGGAAGAAAGGTAGTAACATTGCAAAGCTTACCTCATTTTGTTTCCCCTCTTTCAAGGATCACAGTCTGAGGCTATCTGTTGTTCTATGTCTGCATATAATTACTGCATATGTTTTGCTCAGTTTCCTAGTTGTTTATGGAGAGAGGGAGGTCTGATGTCAGTTTGCCTGTTATGAATGGAAGCAAAAGCATTAGTCAATATAATTAAAAGTTAAGAATTAAGTTTTCCTTGAATTGGGGAAAGGAATTCTGTTATTCTGTTACGTTCTGTTATATTCTCCAAGGATACTTGGAATGTATTCCAAATTTGATTTAAAAATGTAGTAAGTTTTATATAATATAAAGATCAAATTCCTTAATAGTGATTTCTTGCCTCTTAATATTAAAGAATGTACAAAGAAGATTCCTTTCTCCAGTGAATGGCAGTCAAAACTTTTCTATAAAAGTCCAGTTGTTAGCAGTAGAATGGATATTGATCGAACACATTAAATATTTCCCTGAGAAAACTATCAAAGAATTGACAAAACTAGAACCATATTAAAAATATACATGTACAGCCCGGAGAACAGATGGAATAAATAACAGAGGAATTTAGAAATAATTTTTAAAATCCTTGGTGAATGTTTTTGTCATGCTTCAGAATTGCCAATTGTACTCTCTAAATCACAGTAATATTGAACTTAAAATAAAATCTGGTTTGCATATCTTTTCTATTTGATATGACACACTGTGGTTAACCTGCCATCTTCAAAAACAAACATACTATTAAATAAATTGAATTAGTCATCCAGATAGCATTTACCTATTTCCTCAAACACTGAAGAAGAGAAAGAGCAGATAAAGATGTAAAATGATAGCCTGAGTTTTTCTGGATCACTAAGGACCTATCACTGCACATTGCCACACTGTGTACTCATAACTGCTCAGCTGTATCAATTAGAAGAATAACATTGTTACTCACAGAACTCTATCAACAGTGTGTTCTTGATTATATAGTTGACTTTAGGGCTATTGAATGTTTTCCTCTTTTATTATTTTCCCTCTAACTCTGACAAAAGCTTCGTATCATATTGAGGCTAGGGATTAAAGATCTCTACTAAATTGACAAAATGTTGATAATTATTGAAGCTAGGTGCTGGGTTCATGGGGAGTGTTTCCTCTCTTCCTCAGTATCAGCCTTTTGATCTTCCTCTCTCCCTTTTGCCCTCTGGCATCAGCATTAAAGGTTTTTATTTCTCCACGGAACTTTTTATCACCTTGGCTTCATAGCCCTTTCACCTGCAAAATGCCAATCATATTTGCCTCCATTTATCTCTGGTGGCAATTCCTGTTCTTTCATTTCTTCCCCTTTCACTTAGTCATTCTGAATCTAGAGTCTGCACTACCATGAACTCCTTGCCTATCCTGAGTCCATCATCCCCTTTCAGCACTGTGTGTGGACTCATGGCCTGTAACCATTCACAAAGCCAGTAACCAGCAACCATCATGGTTGCTGTTTACTCTCATTTCACTACTGTTCACTTTCTCTTAGAAAATTTTCCTTCCATTTTTTTGTAGTTCCTGAATCTTTCCTGACTTCATGAAGGAATATGCAATGACTGAGATGAACACTGATGAAGTAGCCAGGACAAGATGAAAGAGGCTGACTGTATTCATGGCTCACTGGGAGTTGGATGGTGCAGGCTCTGGAAGATCACCAACTAAGGTAAATGCCAAATCTGGAGGATGTAAAGGCAGGATGGTAACTGGAATTATGGAGCCAATAATTTAGAGCTGGGAATACTATTAAACAAAAAGCAGTTAGAATTGAGTATGGGATATGGGAGTGAGGGAGATAATCCTGAGTATTAGCTTGTTTATTGCCAGGAGTTTGAGGATGGCCCTTGTGAGCTGGCAGAGACATGATAGATGGGTGAGTCAGTCTGGTTTTAAGACCATAGATGGATCAGCCACATAGCTTTTATGAGACTGTGTCACAAGCAGAGTTTGAATGGCTCTACCTTATGTTTTCCCGGTGGAATTCCTTGATATGGTCTAGTGCCTTCTTAAAATAAGACTTGTTCCCAAATAAGTCCTTTAGCCCCTACCCTTTCAACACCTCCAAGCAGTGGTGAGATAGGGCGTCAAAAACTGTCACTGCCTAATCTCGTTCTCTACTCCTTGTTGAATGGGCTGAACATGGATCTATATACTATTTAAAAGACAACCAGGAGAGGCTGAGGATCAGGTTAAGGGTAAGTTTCAGATAGTGTGTGATAGATACTACTAGCTCAGAGGGTTCTCTCCTTCAGCACTCGATGGAGGGTGCTGTGTGAATTGAGGAGACTCACTAGGGAAGGTTATCCTCCTTCAGTGACCTGGGTGGTGTTGGGAAAACTGGAGGGACTGGATTAAGGGGCTAATTGGGCTCATTGTGGTGTTCTGTTCTGTTCTGCAACACTTCCTTATGTTCTTGGTTTCTCAAAGCATATAACAGGGGTGGGGGCCCTATTCACTCAATTCCATAGATAAATAAAATCTGGCCTCCAGCCCAATGGTAGGAACTAGCATCCACTGAGTGGAAGTGTACGGTGGATCTAATTGCTTCACCCTTTATCTGTGGCAGCATTTAAACTGACAGATGTATTTTTGTGTGTGTGTCATGATTTTTTTGCAACTTATTGCCAGCATTTTTTCCGTGTTATTTTTGTGTTCTTTGATAGCAATAACTTGACTTCCTCATTCAGGTAACATTTGCAGTAGCTTAGACAAAAGTGATTTTTGTGTTACATTGAGTAGTCATTCTAAACATGAGGTCTGTGAGTGACTGTGCTGTGATTTGATCGGAGGTAAAGAAAAGAATATTACTCCCTAGCCGAACACACAGATATACATACATCCATTGTTGAGTTTTCAACCTTTGTGTCTTTCTTTTCGTAGTCACACTATTCTCCACTGCATTGCTCTACTACACAACATGCTAAATAACTAATTGACTGTTTCATTGCCCAGGGCTATCTGGTGGTCTCACTGGATTATTTTATGTACTTGGATTAATTGTAGTCATTGCTGGTAATGCTATAGGTTCCCCCATTCCCTTTCCCTTTCCCTCGCCCTGTATTAATTTGATTACCCAAGGTGGCTTTTTGTTGAGAGTACTATATACAATAAGGTATATTATTAGCAGTAGTTTTAAAAATCATTTGCAAGCAAATTGCTGTGTCAGTGCACCATAATAATGTTGACTACTTCTATTTTTCACAAAATCCTTTTTATTTTTTCAGAAATAAGTCATATTCTTAAGAACGTTTGCTCTAAAGTACGAGCCAGTATGCATCATAATGGAACCCCCTCCAGGGTAATAACATCATTCCCGCCATAAGGGGACTGTACATTTAACAGTCAAAAGAAAACGACCCCTACCTCATCTCAGAGTTGTGCTACAGTTTTTATTTAAAGTCTTTCCCTCTATTTAGGAAAACTGAAGCTTGTTTTTGAACTGGGAAGGGCATTTTCAAGGACATTTTCTTTTCTCCCTAATCCCTGCATGACCTGCCTATGTCAGCCATGCTATTCTGACTCGTAGTTTATTGCTTTCATTTGTCCACTCTTGCTCTTAGTCCCTTTAAAACATCTGTCCTTTAAATCACACAGTGCTGTTCCAAGCCTCCCACTCTTCTGCCCATGTGATAGTATCAGGAAACTTTGAAGTGGAAATATTTTCCTTTCTAGGACAGTCTTCGGGTATCAGCACAGAAAGGGTGTCAGTCATGATAATGTATAAAGTTAGGATGAGTTAGATTAAATTTTCCTTACCACTGCTGTTTGAGTTGGCTCTTAAAGCACTGGGGGTGGGGAAAAGCACCTTGTTTCCTCAGATCAGAAGCCCACATCAGATGAAATATAATTTTTCAGCTTTAAGGAGTAGAAACCAAGAGAATTGTAATTTGTCTCAAGAGGGCTAACAGTTTGTGCCTAGTGGAAAATTGCCATGTTGACAGTTTTGTAATGATCAGATCCTGCCTTGAGTTAGTTTAATAATAGCTCACACTTGTTGAATTCCTACTATGATCCAGGTCTATGTCAGAGTGCTTTATATACATGGCAGTTGTGAATTTGAGTCTGTAACTCAAATATGCAAATAGAACATACTTCTTTTTTCACTGAGATGCAATTCACATACCACAGAATTCACCCTTTTAAAGTGTACAATTTGGTGGTTTTTAGTATATTCACAAAGTTGTGCAACCATTACCAATGCTTAATTCCAGAGAGTTTCATCACCCCAAGAAGAAATCCCATGCCCATTAATAGTCACCCGCTATTTCTCTTTCTCCCCAGAGCCTGGAGTCTGCTGTTCGAATTTCTGTCTCTGGAAATTGGCCTATTTTATGCATTTGATATAAATTAATTATACAACATATGAACTTTTAAAAACGTTTTTCAAATTTTTTTAAATTGAAGTACAGTGTGTCAGTCTCTGGTGTACAGTGCATTGTCCCAGTCATGCATATACATCAATGTATGAACTTTTGTGTCTGGCTTCTTTCAGTTAGCATAATGTTCATCCATGCTGTAGCACGAATCAGTATTTCATTCCTTTTTATGGCCAAATAATATTCCATTATATGGCTATATCACATTTAATTCATTCATTAGTTGATGAACATTTGGATTATTTCCACATTTTGGCTATTATGGATAATGCTGCTATAAAAGTGTGTGTACAGCTTTTTGAACATTCATGTACGTTTGTTTTCATTTCTCTTGGGTGAAATGGAATTTCCGGGCCATATGGTAACTACTTTTAACTTTTTGAGGAACTGCCAAACTGTTTTTCAAAGCAGCTGCACCATTTACACTTCCCCATCAGCAATATATGAAGGTTCCAATTTCTCCACATTCTCGAAGACACATTATCTTTTATATTATAACCATTCTAGTGGGTGTGAAATCTGGTTTCTCATTGTGGTTATTTTCCGTTTCTTATTATCTACAAGTCAACTTATTTTCTGTTGTAAGTTTCCAAATTGCCAGGCTTAAACTCAGTAATTTTTGTTGTTTTCTACCTGAGGTCACAACAAGATCCTAGAAGACCTGGATGTTGGGGGTCAGAAACTAAGTTGTCTGGTCCCTGATTTATCCGCTGCTAAGGCATCCAGCAGCTTGATACACATGGCCAATACATGTACACAGTAATCTCTACCCACCGTGGACTCAGAAACCTTTTGTGAGATGCCTTAGGGTTCCATCTGCATAGGGCCATCAAGCAGCCGTGTATTGCTTTGTTCTGCTATGACCCTAGTGTGTGGTGGGTCCAGGTCCACCTTCCTCACTTCCTTAGCATCTCTCTAGTTTTCCTGAATCCCAAGGGAATCTAGCCTGTGGGAAATCTTTTTCCCTTCATTGTGTGTCCCACCCCCTCAAATCTTTCTTTCTCTTACCTTCAACTCTGGGACTTAAGATTGTAAAAACAAAAGCCATGAAGGCAAGTATTTTACAAAAAATTTTTTTGGCCACGTTATGTATTTCCTCCTAGGCAGCATGTATAGAGTCTGCTTCTTGTTTGGGGGACGACTAAATATTTTAGGGTAGGTTAGGCCCTCACTTGGCTTCTTTTAAGTGATACTACACAGGCAGCTACCAAACCCCTAGAATGAGGTGGTCGACAACCAAAGTTACTATCTCAAAAAGTTATCCAGTCATATATGCGTTTTATAATTGAACTCTTAACAAACTTAGGAGTATGAATTATTACCCCTATTTTCAGCTGGGGATACTGAGGCTCTGAGAGATCAAGTAGCATATTAGGCAGATGACAAATATTGGTTGAAATAATTGAACTTACACAGCATTATACAGTTGATAAGTGATAAAACTGGGAATCATATTCTAAAACTCAAGCTTTCTACTTGGCAGCACTATTTAAAATTTGACCTCATTTGAGAGTTTGGCTCCAAATGCAATCTAACATTGAACGTCATCAGTAAATTCCCCAGACAATATTATTTCTTCTTTTCATACTGAAAAAAGATGATTTGCATTATAAACATGAATCTGACGTCTCTTGTGTGCTCTGCAAGTCAGGAAAAGTGTAAATATGTGTGTGTGTAGATGCCATAGAATCTGGATTTTTTAAAAACTCCTTACAACAAACTTTGCCATGGTGGCTTGATTTGCAGAAGATTGAGTTGGAGCCAGTGTTAAGAGGAAGGATTGAGTGTTAAAGGGCACTATTGTCCTTTTGAGGGGAGTGATCTTCCTGGTCAATGGAGTTTGGGACATTCAACGTTTCTGGGACATTTATCTGTTTCTGTCCCCTCAATAGCTGTGGCCGAGTGAGCTGTGTCCCACTGCACTTGGCTCAGAAATTAAAGTCTCTTCTCAGTGTTGGCCTTATTCACAGAGAGGCCAGGTAGTATCAGCAAGCAGGTGAATTCACCTTTTGCAGCTGATGTCTTGTCTTCCAATACCTTCATTCCACATAGTTGCAGAGGCCCCGCTCTGCCTGTATTTCCTCCCTCATCAAAATGTGCTCCTCAAAATACTACATCAGTCACTCATGCTACCATGAATTCAGCTAAATTTACCAGGAGTGTGTTTGTATTTTAAGAAGTTTTTCTTGAATTGTAGGGAAAAAAATATTTTTCTTCATTAACAGAATTTTAAGTTCTGTGGAGCCAACTAGCTTATGGGTTGATTTTCTAAAAGTGGGGTTTATGTTGG